CGACATTGATGAGGCACATGAAGAGAAATAATCCCCTTTCTCTTATTTCTTCTCTAGGTATAACCCTATAATCAGCTTTAACATTTTATGCAATTTCAAAATCCTATTATAGCACTATTTATTCTCTCAACTATAACTAATGTGGAAATAGATAAGCTACTCATAAGTGAATTATAATTCCTATGTCTGCCATATTCCAAGTTCATGCTTCAAAGGAAAATAATTATATTTATATGAAGAACATTATTTTTCTTATATATTGCTTTTCTATCCAAGATCTGGCTATTATAAATTGTGCTGCTATACACATGGGTGTATATATATAGCTGTGACATGATCTTTTCATTTTTTCTGGAAAAATGCTCAGGAGATGAATAACTGGATTGAATGGAACTTCCAATCCTAGTTTTTTGAGAAATCTCCATACTGATTCCCACAGTGGCTGCAGCAGTCTACACTCCCACCAACAGTGGATAAGTGTTTCTTTTTCCCCACATGAAAAAAGCTAGTTAGTTGACCTCTGTGTGATATAAATTACATGCATGCAACCATCAGTAGCTGCTAATCTTGGGTAACACTGGGATCACTAAGAGTAGAGAAATGGCACTTTAGTTTGCAATAGGGTAATTAGACGGAATCTAGACTATCACTTTGATTTCTAATTTATATTTTAATATTAGCAAACAGTGACAATATTAAGATCAAAAGTCAAAGTTTGGGAGTATAATAAAAATTATGAAAATTTGTACCTACAGATTTCTCATTCTAAATGCATGTTTGTTGAATGGGTTTTTAATGGAAAGAAAAGGAAGGAAAGAAGAAAGGAGAAAAGAAATTATGGATGTCATCTTGAAGAAGAAAATTATCAAAGGCAGGAATAATAGCTATTTTTTATGTCTTCATGGAACATAATGTCCAATTTTTGGACATTGCTAAGAGGCAATAATCAGTATTTAGAATGACCATGCAAAAGGCATTGTTTTATAAAATTGAACCAGATTTGCTTGGGAGGGGATGGGTTCTTAAAAGTAATCAGGGACAGAGGTGGGCTGACCATTAATGCAAGAATGTGGGAAGAGTTAGATTCTAGGGAGGTAATAAGAAATGGTATGGGCTCTTCTTTTAAAGAGATCACTGTCAAATTGGAGGACAGATTTCTTCCAAACAAATACAAACCATGGAAATGAATGCTATCACTAATGTATGGAAGTGTGAACAAAGGAAACTTCAGACAACATAGAAGTGGTAACACAGAATGTCAGAGATGAGTTGAGTCTTGCTTGTTTGATGACACTTCTGAGTTTGTGAGTGAAGAGTAGTTACTTCTGCCTAATGATTTTCTCTGCTCAATGATACACTTTTTGTCTCAAGCCGCAGGCATTTCTTATTTTCCTTCTTTCTTTGGTCTCTTAAGGCAGCTTCCAAGACTGGGGCATTCACGAACTTCTCTCCCTACCTTCTAATGTGAAACTAGTTCATGAACACACGACATGAGTACAGTGAAGTCATCCTGAATTCCTGTACTTGAATTCAACTGGCAACAAAACAAAGTATATTACAACGTAGTCAGAATATACTCACATAGTAGATTCGTGTAAACCCAAAAGAATTATACATAAATTCTCACACATGAAAGAGACACAGATGAATGAATGAATGAGAACATCAACAGAATACATCATCCATTTTCTTAAACTGAACATCTTGCAGCCTATTTTTCCCCCTTTACAAACAGTGTGACATGGTTGAATCTGAAGGCTGCTTTTTGAGCACAGGTGCACACAGTAATTAGAGCGAAGGAACAGAAATCTGGAGTGCAAGGTAAATGAAGAATGAATAGAAATAGGAATAGAATCAAAACAAAGTTATTTTTGATGATATACATGGCTTAAAATGTTTTAAAACAAGAGTGTAAGCTGGTGTTGGGAACTTTCTACATTTCTCATATGGAAATAAAGTTGGCAAGACAAAGCATTTATTACTAGGAAACGTGCTTGTCTATTCACTACTTGAATATTTATGAAGTTTACAACTCACATGTGACATTTCCATAAACTGCCTTGACTAATGAATTTAATTATAAATGTTATGAACTTATTTATTTTAAATTCTTGTTTCATTTCGTTTGTATGCTTGATATAAAGTAAACACTCAGGTTGAATAATGCTCGGTGGATTTGAGTGGGTTGATGAAGCTATCCAGTTGCATGACACAACCAGTGTATGTGGCGACAGAGTATGGAGCCTGGCCACAGTAAATGATTTCCCAAGCTGTCTCATTCACACACCCAGGGAACCTCTTAAATAAGTGCCAAGGCCGGTTATTTAAAATGAAAAACTGAGAACAAACTTTCCTCTCAGGCCAGTTCTTTGAATACATAGGATCTGATAGAGAGCTGTAAATCTTGAGCTTTTAATTAGTAAAAGAGGATAAAGGAAGGAAATAATGGAAGTAGAATGCCAGTTACCTTTCCCACCCCCTTGGATATCTATTTTGTCCTGTTAAAAGATGAAATAGAACAAATCAGGGATTAACGCAGGGCCAAGCATCTTCCACACTTCCAGAGACAATCATCTGTATTTTTATCTCAGTTTCTTTCTCACTATTTCTTCCTATGACTTTTTATATCTTCCCCAAATGTCAAGACCTTAAATCACTACCTCTAATTAGATCAAATATTCTTGTGCATTTTATAGTCGCCATCTCGAAACATGGAAGAGTGAAGTTCATTAATTTAGTGGTCATTAACATTTTTGGCTACAATAAAAGTGCTTAACTAAGGATTCTTTTCTAGGTCATAAAAATAAAGATGTTTTCAAAATTCATATAAGGTTTTTGATTTATTTTAGCTTAGCATAGTAGAGGCCAGTGAAGGAGCAATGTAGACATTTAGACATTTTGTCTTTAGAAAAATTATAATGCATATTTTAGTAGCCCCTGATAAACTCCACCTATACCCTCCTTACTTCATAAAATACCCATCCATTCTTTTTATTTTAATGCCAATTCCACTTCTCTCAAAAGATACCTCATACTATTTCATTTTGGTTCAGCTTTTTAAAGTAGCCTTTGGTATAAGAATTTTGATTGGCTTAAGGATATTATTTCCCTTTATTCAAAATTGGTTTACCCTATATCCAAGAGAATCTGCCAAGTTTTACATTATGTCTTCTTTAACATTGTTTCCTACTATATGTTAAATGTATGGAAATTAAAATATTTAAACAACCACCTGGGCATTTCATTAATAGTGCAGTAATATAATTCTCTATGGAATGCTCCCTGTGTGTTTTTAGCCATCATATTTGAAAATGATTTCTCTCACATGGCATCTTGATGATTTACTTGTAGGTGTACTATAGGCTTAGTTACTAATCAAACCAAGCCATCTTTACAGAAAAATCCACAAAAGAATTGGGCCCCCTTTTCCTGGTAAAATGTCTTTCTTTAAAGTCAGTGGTTGTAGAAATGCTAGTTATCTCTAGAAGGTATAACATGAATTTGAACAGCATGATTGAGTAGCAAGGTGATGTTAACTTCATGTCAATGCATGCAATTTTCTCTACCCAAAATATAGCCAGCCTCTGTGCAAAGAAATGTGCAGTGGCTTGAAAAACTGGTCCCATGAAAGACATATATTTGAACCTGTGAATATTAACTTACTTAGAACAAGCATATTTGTAGATATAAAGATCTCCAGATAGATCATATTGTATTAAGATAAAGTTTAAACATAAATAAGTGTCATTGTGAAAGAAAGAAGAGGAGAGACAAAACATAGAAAAGGCCACATGGAGATGGAGCCAGAATTTGGGATTATATTACCTCATACCAAGCAATGCCAGAAACACCAGAAGATATAGGCAGGAAAGAAAAGGGATCTCTCTTAAAAACTTCAAATGGAAAAATATCTTGATTTCAGGCATCCAGCACACAAAATTCTGGGAGGATAAATTTCTTGGCTTAAGCAACCTGGATTGTAGTATTTTATTACAATATCCTTAGGAAGCTAAGAGAGAAGCAGTCTTATCCTGGGGTCTGAGGCCTGCCACTGGTAGGCCTTCCTGTGCTGAAAGTTAGACAAAACAAGAAGAAAGAATCTTCCTGTCCAAGCAGAAGACACTGGTGTTGATCTATTTGGAAGGAGGTGCAGAAATTTTATTTAGAATTCTTGAAAGAAATGATTGGCTTGAATGATAAAACATCCATGTATTACTAAGCAAACCTTACATGTTCTATAAGAGTGTTATAGAATATTTTTAAGTTACAAGCAAGAGAAAACCATCTTTAACCATATTAAGATGACAGTAAAAAATTGTAATAACAAATGTGAAAGATTTCTAATATTTCAAAGATTGTTAATCTGCTCTTCCTTTTTCAAAGTTTTCAAGGAATCCAAACACTGTCTTGAAAGAATATGCTCTGTATTTACCTTGTCATTCATGAATTAGACAATTTTGGGAAAATAAAGATTTTAAACTATGTGCCACATTTTAAGAACTATATAAAATATTTGTTTTTCTTATTTTTGTGCATTAACATGTTTATATACTGGTACCTTGGCTCACCAACTCAATTCTCTTTGTGATTCTGGTTGTAAACTCAACTTGATGAGAACCAAATTAAATTTCCTTGTAAAGTCAACAATGACCCTAACCTTTGAATTTCATTTGCTTCTTGCCCAACTTAATTTATGGCCAGAATCATGAAGAGAATCAAGTTCATGAACCAAGGTACCAGTGTATAGGAAAAACTTTATGAACCTCTATTTTACATTTTAATTATGTTTATGACCACTTTCTTATGTGTTTCTTTGAAAATAATGTTGCTTTAGCCTTATTTTGTTTAAAATATAATGTTGCTCAGATTTTCATATGTTGATTAGTTTGGTTCACATATATTTGAATCCTCACATACATTCTAATTATAGAATTTAAAGCTATTTAGCTTTTAAATCAAGTATTAGAAGCACAATCATATGCTTTCATGGCAATATAAATTATGAACTGGAGTTTTAAAGCCGAGGTGTCTCCAGTTTAAAATGCATTTCTATTCAGAAGATCAGTTGAAATTGTTGATTGGTTACATCAGCAAGGACATAAATGTGTTGTGGTGGCTCTATTGAAAGCATTATACATAGCATGGCCAGAACTCTCTGTGAGAGATAACAGTGAAACCTAACACTGCCACTCATTATTTAGTAAATACTAAATATTACATACTAAATACTAAATAATAAAAAATTCCTGTGCAACATTACATTTAATAATGCTAGAATTATGAAGTTTCAAATATTAGTAAATTCACTTTACAGAAAGGCTGAGTAGGGTTAAATAAATTGCCTAAAGTCAAACAAGGAGCAACCTGCTTTGAGTCTGTGCTTTAAGACATTATACAGTAATAAGTTTTCTTACCATCATGAGTAATACGAGACTGTGGTAAGTGCTTCTATTTTTGTGCAACAGGAACATAAAGAAAAAATGATTTACTCCAATTTGAGTGAACTTAGAAAGGCTGCAGACATCAAGTTGATTTTACAGTGAACTTAGAAAGACAGAAAAAAGTCTTGCATGAAGGAAAAAGCATTTCAGCTGGAGAAATTGGTCAACAAAGCTGGAAAACCTGTAAAGAGCATTTCTCCAGAAAGGTGGTGAGTAATTCCAGGGCACAAAGGGAATTCCCACTTTCTAATCACCACTTCCCACTTCTAATCATCATTCCTAGAGAGTAGCTACCTTTTCTAGAAACAGAGAAAACACCTTTTCCTCAAGACAGTGTCAGATTTCTTGACTCTTGACCAAGTGTTGTATGACTCAGAGGCTTACAGCTGGATGTGTGTTCTCCCACAGCACTGCTCTCAAATAGGATACGGAGGACTTGTAGCTGGAACATGTAATGCCTCAAATTCAAGTAATTTTCCTCAGATTCAAGGTCCTGACCTTGCTCAGATTAATTCAGTGATTTTGATTGCCAGCACTAAGGCAGAGGAAAACATTACGATTTGAGAAATTGTTTCCATAATTACTGATCTGCCTCTAAGCTAATGTGTCATTTGCTCTTCATGTTTTAAGTTTTAAAGTTGCGATTTCCCAACTCTTCAATTAAGGGTAGAACTCTATGAATCTGACTCAAGAGTAAATAAGATGATATTGAGAAAGGACAAATCATAGTGTGAAATAACTCTTGAGATGCTGAAATAAAATATTATACACATACCAAAGTTCAAAAGAAGAGATAGGAGATGAAGTGTGTGGTAATGGAGAACCCATATCCATGGACTGAGTGGCTCAGAGCAGATCTGATGAACAGCTATGAACACATTCTAGCATACAAGTTTCAGGTTATTTTGGCCTGTGCTACAATTGGCCAGCATCATCCCCCAAAATTCAGTAAAATAACCCTGTGTGAGTGGTCAGTGTTTGGGTAACAGTGAAGAGATAGTGTCCTGCAGTTCTAGAACAGGAGAGATACTTGATTAAATCTGTAATGTGGAGCACAACAATATGTATTCTAGCAATACAGCAGAGGTAGCAGTCACTTTCAGGTAATGGAACTGAGCATACATCACAAAGGCTGTAGCATTTCATGCAGGCCTTGATAGATTGATAACATTTGAATAAGCAAATTGTTGCAAGGGCTTTTGATTCAACACAAAAACGCATGAACAAAGCCAGTCACATATTTAAAAACAATGGAAGATATAGGTAGAATAGAAGGTTGGATGAAGATTTTCAATATCAGAATTTTTATTCCACAGTAAACAGAGTCACTGGAAATTTTGCTAACGTGAGTAAAACAACCCAGTGGTTGTTCACAGATGATCTTGGGCCTTTGAGCTAAGTATGACATATAAATAAATCTGGAAGTGAGTATGGGGAGTTTTACAACATTCTATTTGAACTCCTGACAGGTCATAAATACTAATCTATGGGCAGAGAAGACTAAAACTTGGGAGAGACTTGAGGAAGCAAGATGTTTATTGAAGAGTGATTTCAAAGGGCTGAATTGATGACTAATTCTGGAGCACTGAATAAGAATTCCCAAAGATAGAGTAAGAGGAATGGGAAGATGCCAGAGAACAAGATTTAGGCAGAACTTAGGGAGAAAGACTTGGACAGTGAAGACCATGTAAGTTAGAAAACAAGGAGAGCTTTTTAGGAAGCATAAAGTGATTTAAAGCACTATGGAGGTTAGACTTAATAAAAAAATCACAGGAGCATACTTTCGCATTTGATGGAAAGAAATAGAAACAAAGCCACTGTGAATAATTTAGGAATGTGCAACATTCAGATAAACTAATGGAAGCATTTCAGTTTAAGATGTGTGCTATTTGACTCATGTCAACTTGGCTTTTAATTTTTTCCTATTTGTATTAAAAAGGCATGCATCTTCAATGGGGAGTACAAAAAAAGGGTACATGAAGAAAGGAATAGCAAAAAAATCTTGAAAGTCACTATCAATAAAAACAACTCCATTTTTCCTTCTGGAAGGGTGGTTGGAGGAACTGGTTACTCAGCATCATCTGGAAACTGGCTAGAAGTGCCAAACCCAAAGGTGCGGCACTTCCTGAATCAGAATCTTTGTCTTTATCTTCTCCTGTTGCATCCAGGCATGATGCATTTCTTAAAGTCTGAGGAGGACTGCTGCATAAAATACTATTCAGTCTGCATACAAATTTAAGAGTATACGTGACCACCAGGTTGTTCAACAATACATTTATAGATCCCTGACTTCACGTTATAAGATGAGAAGCAGGTTTTGGCTGGGCATTGTGTTATACAGCTGTAATCTCAGCTACTCAAGAGGCCACAGCAGATGACTTAAAAGCTCAATGTCAGCCTGGAAGATTCAGGGAAGTTCTATATATAAACACACAACAAAACAGAACCAGCCTGAGACTGAGTTGTACTTATCAGTTTTCCCACTCAATAGCTGTGATAAAAGTTCACTCACTAGCTCTCAGTTTCATTACAAAAGCAGTAGTTGCACCAATTTTCTAATTTTATTATTTCATTTATATATTTATTGGTACCTCGTGCTTACTAGGTAGGTGTTGTACCACTGAGCTTCCCCAGCTAATTGTATTATTTTAAACTGAAACATTTTTAAAGCACTAAAGCCTCTGTTATTTATAATTGGTAATGTAACACTGACATTATAAGGAAAAATACATTAGGGCATATATTGAAGAAAAGCAAAAAACACATGCATGATGTGTCTTTTCTTTCTTTCTTTCTTTCTTTTTTTTGCTTGATGTGATGTGTCTTACAAGACAAAATAAAATTACAAACAGCTCTTTCAAAAATCTCCAAGCTTGAAGAAAGATTGCTGGCACTTGAACCAAGAAGTTCAAGGTTTTCTGGAGAGAACAATGTTTCACTTAAATAATTCAAATAAGAACCTCTACAAATCTCTAAGATTAAGATAGTGTAGCACTTAATTTAATGCATATGGTGCACCAGGAACATCTGTATGTGTGTCTCATTTAACCTCACAACAGCACTAGGGGACAGGTGGTACTGCTTTATTCCCAGTTACAGACAGGAAAACCAAGTCTTAAAAAGTTAGGAATTTACACAAAGGTGTACATTTTACAAATCAGAACTGAGAGTCCAATTCAGGTCTGTCTCACTTGAAAAGTGGAATTCTTAAGTATAACATATCAAAAGAGGAATTAGGGATGGAAACAAAATAATATAAACAATATTAGTAAATATCTATAAGCTCCTACTATGTACGAAGCACCACCTTTGTAAACCTGGTATATATTAATACATTCAGTTGTAACAAACACACTTTTCAAAAACACTATTGTTAGTCTTGTTTTACAGGTTAGTATGTTACTCAGCACATGTCATAATAAAATGCCATAGCCTGGATGGTTTAAACAATGAAAGTTTATTTTCTCAAAGTTCTGGTGTTTGGAAATCAGGGTACCGGCATGACTGAGTTCTGATGACTCACTTCCAGGTTGCACGTGGACGTGTAACTGCATGCTCACGAGGCCTTTCCTAGGTGCAAACAGATAGAGGGAGGGAGGGATGAAAGGAGATAGAGAGAGCAAGAAATTGAGAGTATATTTTTCCTTTTCCTCATCTTTAAAAGCTGTCAATCCTATTGGTTTAAGACCTCACCTTTATAACTTCATTCAATTCTAATTACTTCCTGAGGTTCTGTCTCCAAACCCAGTCTCATTGTGGGTGGAGAGATTGCAGAGGTGGGGCGTTCAGTTCATAGAGTGAGGAAAATGATTAAATAATTTCCCCCAAGGTCATAGGGTGGTGAGTTCCACTTTTTAAAGTGGCAGACTGGCTCAAGAGACCGTACTTGGCCACTCTGTTATGCTTCTTTGAAGGATCCATGAACACAGGGCATTTAAACATGACATAGCTCTCTCTATTATTGATTTCTCTGTACATTACTGTGATGCTTTTGCTTAACAAAATACTTGTATTCCAATTGAATTTGTCTCCAAATACTCTTTTCTTATTAGCTGAAGTGTAGCAGTATGACTTTTCCTTTTCCAAAACTAATATAATTAACAGATATAACATGGAGAAAACAGCTTTACAAGTATTGACTAAGTGCTACTAGCTTCTAGGGATAGATTTACTGCATGGCACCCTTCCAATGCATCTTGGCCTGTATAAACCTGTTTGTCTGTACTATCCTCTACTAAGTATTTTTGCTAAGGGTCTTTCCACTCAGTTAAATCCATAGAAGTGCCAATTAAAGGTGAGATTAAAGACACTCAGCTCCCACACTGTCAGGGAGTCGGTGTTTACCTACTTGTGAATGGACAGTGCACTGGAAAGAGGGATTAAAGCTGTTTTATTTTCTTAAATCAGGTCCAGAACGGACTGAACTGCCATGCCAACCAACAGAGCCTGGGAAGAAAGCAGCTGACTACTTGGAATTTCAACAATACACAAAGGCTCAGGATGTAGCTTGATGGTAGTGTGCTTGCCTAATATGAAAAGCCCCGAATTCAATTTCCAAAACCACAAAAAATAAAAATAAAAAACTGGATACATACAATTGAGTCACGGTGGTTGATTTGTCCAAAGACTTATACTGAACTCCCTGCTTCCTGCTCCCTGCTCCCTGTTCTGAGGATGTTTGCTCATTCTGATCAAAATATTTAAGAGAGGAGTATGGATATGTTAAGGGTGAAATCCATCAACACCTTCCTCTTCACTGAGATGCCACTTCTCACTGTGCACTGGGCAAATGTTTACACATATCCTTTAGATTCTATTTACATTGTTTCCTCTACCAGAGCTGCCTATTCACCCAGACTGTCCAAATCCCATTGTTCAGCCCAATTTAATGATCATGTCCTCTGCAGCAATCATTCCTTCTACAATCTACAATCATTCTTCAAATTCAATGTTATCTTTAATCACACCCAGCATTATCTCAATACACTACTGGGAAGATCTTCCATAGTCACACACACTTGATTCTTCTTTCCAGTTTGTAGTAGGAAAGGATTACATTTCCTGGCCTCCTTACTACTGGGCAGAGCCATCTGACCAGTTTAGTTCTGTTTGAATTGCATATGGATATGAAGTATCTCACTTCCTGTTGGGGGAACCTAATTACCAGTATGAAACCAACCATTTTTGATCCTGAAAATAGATAGTGTTCTAGGTAGTTGCTCCATTAGCCTGTTTCAGAGTAAAAACTGAGTACTCTGCTGAGGCTCCTTTGAAATAAAGAATGAGCAAGAAATTGTGTCAGGCACTGAAATTTGTGAGTCTATGTGGTTGTGTGCGTGGATGGTAGGCAATAGTATATAGCAGCATATATAATTTATAATATAACAAAATATGAATAAGATATTAGCTTAGTCTAACTAATATAGTATACTCTTTGCTCTGAGATTACATACATATTTTATGCTCTTAAGGTTCCCTTTTCCACCCTCAGCAAATATTTATGAGTAGATCTGCTGGGGTCAATCAACAGCCAAGGCACTGATGATGCAATGGTGAGAAAAGCCCACAGTTCCTACCCTTACTATGATCATTGTCTAGAGAAGAGGCGAAAGTTCACCAAACCATTACATGGATGGATATCAAGATTAAAATATAATCACTGCAATGCTGAAAAAGATTTATTTGACCAAATCTAGGGATGACTGTGGTGAAATGTCAGGGAAGGACTTTTGGAGAAAGTCATCTTTGAGCTCAGTTGCAAACTGAATGAATTCTGACCAGATTAAGGCTCCATTTCTTGACGGTCATAGGTAGGAGGGGGCACTGCTGTCATGGTAAAAGCCGGGAATGCTCCTATACATCTTAAAATATAGAGTATTTTAAGTAAAGAAATGTTTACTCTAACCAAGAACTGTAACAAATGTCCTTCCTTTTGCTCCTTGCTAATTGAAACACTGAAACAAGAGGATCACTTGAGCCCCTGAGTTTGAGATCAGCCTGGGAAGTATGACAGTATTCCATTGAGAGTAAAAAGAAAGAGAGAGAGAAAATAAAATTATGCGACCCTAAATGTCAAAAGAACAACCAATGTAGAAGAAAATATAGTTGAAGGTGAGGATTTTTTTGGTTTTAAACAGAAGATACTTTAGTAAGTTTTGATTTTCATGGAAAGTGTCAAGGGGATAGTGGTAAATACAGAAAAAATATACTTTTCTGTGGGTAAAAATGATTTCCTTTTATAAGTGAGGAGCTGATGGTTCTGTGAAGGAAGTTGGCTGTGTAGAGAGAGAAGGTCAGTGAGAGATGGGGGCAGATTCCGACTTTAGCTGACTCCATGCTCAGTCCCTGAGGGAGTTTTAGATCACCTGCGCGCTGCCCACAAAGGCTGTGTCATCAGCAAACACCCCAGTACACACTAATACCAGACTTCTCTTACTCACCTTCTGAAAGCTCTGCTCCTCCTCCAACCCACATTGTCTTCACTAAAAAGCTTTGTCTCTAGGCTGTTACCAAAACTGAGGCTATCATTTCAGTGAGAAGTACCTTGACCTGAAGTTCAGGATTCAGTATTCTCTGTCCCCTTTGCAGCCATTTGGTCTCTGCCTCTTGCAGCCATCATTTCCTCTTTGGGACCAATCTGCCCAATGACCGCCCCCCACAACACACCGCTGACACTTTCACGAAATGCTCTGCAGGCCTACAGCATGAAGGTTCATATGTGCAGCCCAGAAAAGTCTTTTCTTGAACCTGTTTGAGAATTTTGAGCCTTTATCAGACAGTCTACTTGCCTCTCACCCCAAAGGAATTATGTTGCAGAATTCTAAGCATTGCCACTTCATATCCAAGGGCCTTAATTATCATCCAGTCAACAAAGCAGTTAGAGGAGTGCCCAGAAACACTCACGCTATGCCCTAGGGACTATAATGGAAGGCCAAGCAAGCAAGACAATGAATGGCAAATGAAGAAACGCAGGGAGGGGAAGTCATCAGGAGCAAAATAACACATTAACATCCTGACACATCTGTGGGAGAAACTTCTAAAATCTATACCCATAGGGCACTGCCAAACACTTTGAAAGTGTCCAGGGAACTTCTGCCCTCTTCTCAAGGACTCAGGGGAGTCTACAGAGAGTTAACTTAATGCTGTGGATTAAACTATGAAAGATGAGAAAGAGTCGTATGTCCTCTTGCTTGCTTTAACAGATTCCATACCTGAGCTATTTTTAAATCTCTGGTTAGATTTTTCCTGTATTCTCTTTCCTACTAATTCTAGCTTTTAATACTTTTATATCCCAGGAAATTCCACATTCAGATTGTATCCAGACCTTGCAATTCCTTGTTTACTCACGAAGATTAAGATGCCCTTTTACACATTTGTGAGATAACCAGTCCTTCACGGGCTCAAGATCGTTCATCCTCCCTTGCATCTTACTTTCTCTTTCCTACTTCTTTCCTACTCTTCTTTCAACCCTACTCTCTCTTCTCCTTCTAGTCCTCCTCTATCTAACTCTTATTTTCTTTGCATGCTTAAGATTTTAGTCCAGATGTGTGACTCAAATTCACACAAAGAATATATAGACCTCATAACATGCTATAACTATCCTAGGCTATAAGATTATTTTTATTTAACATATTCATTCTTGTCTATTCAAATGTAAAGGTGCAAAATTTTCTGGGATAATATCAAACATTAACTTATTGAAATGTAGTACAGTTTTACTAATATTAATGATGCTTCTTTTAAAAGTGCACAAAAGTATATTAGCTTATTTCTACCACTTTCATGTATTAAGTGCTACATTTTTGAAGCAGAATAAATGGCTGAAATGGCAACTTGCCATGAACTTTTCCACCACTCTGAAAGAACTGTATCAGAAGGGAATATTATTTATTGTTGACTAAAACATTAAAAAGAAAAAAGAATCACACTTGAATCCATTGCTTTTCATGACAAATCACTAAAGGTCTGTCAGAAAAACACTGAAAACATAACTGAGCCTTTTATTTCAGAACCTGAATTACTATTTAGAGTTGACATTGTTTTCCAAAGAGGTTGAGCTTAAAATGCTTGAAGCAGGATCCAATGACAATCTGTAATCCTTAAACCTTATACCATTTCATATCTGGGCAGTGACTGATACAGTTATGAACAACTGACATCCAACTAAAATTGTGCATGGAAAGGTGCCCTTCCTGTTTCTCTTCCCATCCTGTACACAATGGTTGCTTTCCTTCTTCCTAACATTTGCGAGTCATAGGCTTTGCTAGAAATCTTCATAAGGCATAAAAGGGAACTTCATCACAAGCCTAAACATTGCATGGTTTCTTTTATATGAAAGCCAAAAAGTACTGTATAAACAAAGAGCAAAATAAAAGATAATGGGAAAATGAAATAAAAGACAAAATTAAAGATAGCCAATAGGAAACAGAGAGACAGGACTTTTGCTAAAGGGAAGGGAACCAAGAGATGAGGAAAAGGGATTTAAAAATTAAAAAAAAAAAACAGTTATGTTAAAAATATGTACCACCCCCTGCTCCTCAACAAATGCAATCATCAGGTACTGCAAACATTTACAGATGAGCGAAAATAAAAGGGAACGTCATTCCCCCGGAGGCCATGTCCAAAGCCTAATGCCAGTCAAGTGAAGGGAAGGGAAAATGAGCAAGTGGCAGCGGGGAGCACTGTCACAGTTTTGAGACTGCAGACACAGAGTCCTGGGCTTCTTTATTAAAAATAGCTGCTTCTCTTAGCTTCCCTCACTTAAAAGACTGACCTCAGGCTGTTTTGGTGAGGCCATTTGTTGTGTGACATGTTTTGAGAGCAGCAGTATAGCTCTAACAGCTGAGCATTCAGCAGGGAGCCCTGTGGACAACATAATCAATGCAAAATTCAAATCTGAGGCTGAGAACCTTCGAAAAGGGAAGGTGTCTTAGTCAGTTTCTCCTCAGTGAGACTCAGTGTTAGGCATTCACAATATAGAGGAGCAGAAGCTTATTTTGCTTTACAGCATAGAGAAGTTTCAGTTTTTGTCCTGTAGCTTAAAGGCAGGACAGCATGGCAGAGAGACACAGCCAAGGAATAGCTGCTCAGAGAATGGTGGATGGAAAGCAGAGATTAAAGGGAGGAGCCAGAGGGGGAAAGACTTCTAGGCCAAAGACTCAGTGGGGCTTCTGACCATGTCTTTTTATTTTTCTGTATATATTTATATGCATAACGCAAGACATTTGTATTTTGTGGTATTTATAAAATTAATTTAAAGAGAAACATAACATAAACAAATCTATTATAATGACAGAATAAAATTTCTATGTTCAATTTATATGTGATTGATGATATTCAATTAAGTCTTAATGTGTTATTATTGTTTGGCTTCCACAGAAAGTGGTTTTTTTTTTATATATATTTCTATTTTTTTGCTTTGTTTCTGAGTAATTTGTAATTTATATATTATATATACAATATAAATATTGTATGTATTAAGTATAAAATTATAAATATATATATATATATATATTAAGAACAGTAGTTAAAAAGATAAGTCTAGATAAAGCACTAAGGTATCTAGCACAAAACAAACACAAGAGTCATTATCCATAT